GCTGTTCTTAAAAAATGTTTTGATCGGTACCGTTTTAAGATTTTGTTTGAATGAAATTAGTCCTTGACTATCAAACATGAGTAGAACATGTCTTCTCTGAATATTCCACTTTTTTTCTCAATTCTTTTTTGTGTTCAAAAAGAATTATAAAAGATGAAAAATGTTGTTATTTATGAAAAAATCATTCGTGTAATAGTCAGAGATTCGCTGAGACTGCTGAAAAGGCTAACGACTTACACTTCTAACCTTTTGCTATATTGTTAGACTTTCAAACTATTAGACGTTTCAAATATTTGGAGCTGTAGAAGGAAGGGTTGTATATAGCATTAAAGTGGACTACGAGATAACTGGTTGTAAATCACTTCATCACATAGATATAAATGTATTGATTCAGTTGTGAGATGACGCTGATAAGCGCTCTCCGTAGTATGTGATTATATCTGTGAATCTGTATTGATCATTTCTGGTTAGGCTTTCTCGATGGAGAGGTGTTTTCGTTGGATTATTAGAAAAGTGAATTCTATTTCTGGTTAAGTGTCAAAAGATGCAACAACTAATTGTTTTTAGACTAGTTTAGAGGACAGGACAAGAAAATGTGATTCATATTCACATCTTCGAATTCTAGACTACTCGTAATTCCAGGCGTTCCGTTTCAATAAAAATTTTTAAAACAGTTTGTGATTCTCAATCATTTTTTGTATATTTTTGTTATTAAGTTCCGTTCGTGATGAACTTCGTTTGAAATATTTTTCTGGTTTTGGTTATGTATCAGTTCGTGTTGATATAAGAGGAACAGGAAATTCAGAAGGTACAGAATAGAGAATATTCATGTATCCAACTTCAAGCAACATTAGTGTGATCTTATGTAGGAATTTTTGACGATGAATACAGTGAACAAGAACAAAAAGATTGTGGAGAAGTTTTAGATTGGATTTCGAGACAGACATGGTGTACCGGAAAAGTGAGACAAATGTGATAGATATGTATCGTCTTTTCGTTATGTGAACGTTTATATTGTTTTGTTTTTTGTCACTATATAGATCGTTATGTTTGGAAAATCGTGGGGTGGTTTCAATGGACTGCAAATGGCTGCTCTAAGACCGAAAGTATCTTGTCCAATTTAGTATAATTTTCCACGAGTTTTGGAATTTATTTTATATTTAAGAACTTAGCCGGTGTAATTTCTGCTTATTCAACCGATGATCGATATAGTGATGACATTCATTATTGTGGTGGTTGTATTGCTGCAGGCGAAGGTAAGTTTCTCCAATATGCTAATGTTTTCAAATGTTTCGTGAATTTCTAGCTCTCAGTTGGTCAACTCAAATGTTAGTTTGGTCTGCATGTGCGCCCCATCCCCAGTATCAAGGCGGATTAGATGTCGAGAATGATAAATGGTTGATTATGTGGAAAAAACGATTAGAAGATCTTGATCCCCTGGATTCCATTTGGTTAAAACATCAAACACGCGATAATTATTGGCGTCATGGCAGCATTTGTGAAGATTATTCTCAAATCCAATGTCCGGTATTACTAATTGGAGGTTTTTCTGATTTATATACGGATCCCGTATTTCGAATGATGTCAGCATTGACATCGTGTGAAAAACGAGCTATCATCGGCCCTTGGGGACATCAGTGGAGGTAGATCACAGATGAGTTGTTTAAGTTAAATTAAGCTTAATATTTATTTCATGGCCATTTAGCGACAGTGCTTATCCCGGTCCACAAATTGGAATATTACAAGAATTTGTGCGATGGATGGATCATTATATTAAAGGTAAAAAGTAAATTTTGTTTCGTTTGTGTTCATAACATTCAAACATTTTACGAATTATTAAGTTACTATTGCCATAACTGATTGTGCACAGTGACGGACCTGTAAATTTTTTTCGGTGGGTGCGATTCATTTAGCAAAGATGAAAAAATTTATTTTACTGCTAAAAATGAAATTTCTTTTCCTCTTTTCATTGCAAGCCGCTGATTATGCCATAGTTTATCCTTTTGTTCAGGAATCGATAATGGAATAAATCATGAGCCAGTGTTATCTATTTATCAACTTCATCCAAATTCAGATGAATTGCATTCCGTTGTGGAAGAGCGAAAAGGAGAATGGCTACATATTAACCACGTACCAGCGTATGAGAATGAACGAGATAAAAGGAATAAAAATGCATTACGCAGAACAAATTCAATTGAAAATCAAACAATGGAACAAATCACACTTTTTTTGACTTCGTCCTATTTGCTTCAATCCAACTCACCTTCTCAACCTTCATCCACTCTTTCATTTTCATCATCACAATTCACAGGTATGGTAGGGGGTAATTGGTTAGGTTGGGGCACTTTGATTCATCCTGATCATCCGGTCGATCAGCGAGAAGATGATGGACGATCGATTTGTTTCACTGCAGCAGAACACTTAAATGAAGATTTAGGTAGAATCTCTTTGAAAATATCTGTACGATAGATTATTTGTTATCACTTATTTTTAGAACTATTTGGATTTCCGTCCGTTCGCTTTGATGTTAGTTGTGACCAACCTAATGCATTGCTCTGCGTTCGTTTATGTGCAATTCATCCTACACGTGGTGCATCAGTACTAATTGCAAGAGGAATTTTAAATTTAACACATCGAGATTCACATGAAAATCCAGAACCGTTACAAATTGGACAAGTTTATAGGTAAGAATATTTCAAATTTATTTTTGTTTTGAATATTAATGCTAAACATGATAGCATGAAACATGAATTGGACAAGTTTATTAATCACACTATTCTAGTAGAGTATTATGTTTAAAAAAAAACAAGTTAGAAATTAAAACAACGTTCATGCAATTGAATAATGATATTTCCAGCATACCTTATTCATAGAATTTACCTCTGAGAATAAGGTATGCTACTGCGGATAAGAGTGATTGATAGACTCAAAAACTACAAGTTATCGATCTGTCTGCTGATAGTCACATCAACGCATCGCTTCCATTACTTATTCTTTTTAGCATTAATATAACACTGTCATCAACTTGTGTTCGAATAGCAGCTGGATATCGTCTTCGACTCGCAGTTTCAACATGTTATTGGCCATTAGTCTGGCCTTCCGCACATCCAGCAACTGTGACGTACGTTGTTTTATGTCCAATAACTATTCTCTATAATTTTTAATTTGCTTTTTCAGCCTGCATTTTAATACCGAACATCCACCGACTGTTATTCTTCCGAAATTAATAAATAAATGGTGCGTGTAAAATACAACTATTTCAGCGTTTGGTATATTTGTATTTTTCTAGTTTCACCAAACCAGAGTTTGGATTAGCAGAAGTAGCGGTGGGCCTTGAAACTGTTCAACATCGTCGTGCATTTGTCACTCGTGCTCGTTCACTTGATGAGGTCAATGAAATAAGTAAATTAAAGGTAGAATGAGTATACCTGGACATATATAGGAAGTATAATTTGGTTTCTTCTCGTCTAGCTCGTTAGTGATTGTGGTTCAATCGAATATCCTAATGGTGTTTTGTTCGATGAGACAGATGAACAAGTCTATGAAATTCAAGAAAATCAGCCACTGTCAGCTAGTATAACGATCCAGAGAGATCTAATATATTCTTTGAATGAACTAGTGAAAGCCGATATTAGAACAAATTCAAAAATGTACTCAAATGAGAATAAAGAGTTTATTATAGAACATGAGTTAAATATTAAAAATCACGGTGAACGATTTTTTGAAAAGAAATGGAAAAATGTTTTTACACGAATTTGGAACTAATCTGGAACGTTTATACATTTCCATCACCATCTTGTCCTGTTATTGGTGTTTCCGTTTTTGTAATCGTCTGTGACATCTAATTAAAAATAATAAAACCATTGCAACAACTAAAATCAGAAGAATCCTTCTAATATAATTGAGTATAACACTGCTACAAAAAGCAGTGTTATGTATAGCAGTGTTATGTATGTATGTTTTGTAGCAGTGTTATACTCAATTATTTCTAAATTTATTTCTACTGCTCCACCTTCAAATTATTAATCCTTCTAATAATCATAATCTGATCTACTGAAACTTGGACAAAAGTTTTCTCTGCGGAATTTTACGCTACGTTCAATGAAAAGTCGAACGAAAAGATCTAAAGATGTCGGACGTGCGTTAGTTTATAGAACAAATATCGTTTCATCTATGTATGTTATTAGTATGAAAAGTCCAATCGTATTTTTCAAAATTTCAGTCTCTAGAATTTCATCTGATACGGTACATCTATAGTTTGAGTGATGATTTTTCCATAGAAATAGTCTTAAGCTTTTACTATGGAGTGATGAAAGTCGCGGGTTTCTATCGCTTTTCTATCGTAAGTTAATCGAAAACAACTGGATACGTTCTTTACTAAGAATTTTGGACACTTCGTAAAATTAGCTCAGTAAGAATTTAATTAAGATTTGAATAAGATTTGATAACTCAGCTTTAATGTTAAGATTTGAAAAAGAGTAAACATATTTCTTAGTGAATCGTGAATGAATCTTATTGAAAATCGTGACAGTTTTCACTCAAGATCTTGGCCAAGATGAATTAAGAAATTTCAAGATCTTGAGTGGAGTAAGCCAAGATGTTTCAAGATCTTGGATTCTTGAATCGAATACAGGCAAGAATGTCCTTCTGAAAATGGCTTTTGCAAAATGTTCCCGCAATTTTGTCCTCGGACAAAATGTCCCGGGTATTTAGTCCTTGGAAAGATGTCCTGCAGAATATATGTCCTTGTTCAAAATGTCCTTTAGAAGTTATTAAAAAAACTAAAGTTCATTCATCGAGAACATGTTTTTTTTAATAAAGTTTTCGTTCGAAGCTATTTGTTTTAATAAGTCCTCTTGAGTTAAAATAAATTTAAAAGAATGTGCACAAGGAATATCAGACATATCACCGGAAAAAAAATAAAGTTGGTTTAGAGTTGCTGAAAAGTGGTTTTTCGTACTCAGCACACTCGATAACCCAGAAGATTTTCTGTTTTTGGCCCGAGGTACTTCGAAAGTTTAGGAGAAGTTTTCCAATTAATATTATTTTTCCATGGAAAACTTTTTACGCCATTTTGTTTCAAAATTTCTCTTGAACTTTCGGAAGTACTCCGAGCCAAAAATAGAAAATCTTCTGGGTTATCGAGTGTGCTGAGTACGAAAAACCACTTTTCAGCAACTCTAAACCAACTTTATTTTTTTTGTTCCGGTGATATGATTCTTTCTAATTTGCAATTCACTGCAACTAGTTCAATCAAACATATAATAAAAGGAAAACTTAGAAAAATACTACGATGCGGAAAAATTCAGAAAAATCTCAAAAAATCGGATGAATTCAGAAAGGCAGAAGACGACCGGAAAAATCGAAAAATTTAGAAGTTTTCTGCTCAATTCGGAACACCTTTACCTGCACAAAAATGCCCGAGACATTCTATTTTGCGAGCAGTACAAAATTCGTAATTCAAGCTCTTTTCGGAAAACGAAATCTTCGAAGTCTTGAGCAACTTGAACATATGTTCTGTAAAGATTTTTCTTGTCGGATTTCAGTTCCTGAAGTTTTCGAACTTTTGAGACATGTCATTTTTTTATTAATCACAACTGCTTTGAACAGATCTCATGATACAAATAGGCACATCTCTTGTTCCCTTGCTGAAAGGACATTCTAGACCGTTACCCTTGAATCCAATAGTAATAAGATTTTCACTATAAGATCTTAGTGAGATTCAATTCTACTCTGAAGTTGAATGCAAAAGCGTTCTAATTTTTTTAAAGATATCTTTAAAAATTTTTTGTTTATTGATTGAGATTGCAGCTATTAAGTTTCAAATCTATTATAAATGATCGAATTGAGTCTCTTTTTTTATAGGAGAAAATGTGAACCGTACGTAGTTTATAATCATCAAAAACTGTATTTTTTACGTATATTTATTGATTAGAAAAAATGAGAATAACTGCTGTTTAATTTTTACATATTTATTATGTACTAAGAATGAGCCACGCAAAATAAATTATCGTACAATGTGCCAATAGAAGATGGTTTAATTGAAGATGTCCATTTGTTTTGGAAAAAAATGTTGTCACTTGATAATTTCGGTAGGAAACAATTAAATTGTTTATTGTTGTGGCTGATGTAGCACCGGTACAATACGGTGTAGCGCAATTGTGCATAACCACGAGAACTTGTGTATCCGATATGGCACTTTGTTCTCGAAGATACTGACGTTTAGCTGGATTTATCGCTGAAAATATACAAGCAATATTTTCATTAAGAATTCAAAAATGCGAAGTCATTATGAATATTACTTACACGGTAGCTCCGAGAGAAAAACTCCAAATAATATTAGCATTGGTAGCAGTAATAAAAGAAATGTTAAGAGCCAGCAATACAGTGGACAGCCATAAAAGAGTTCACAGAAATAGCACGATGGGCAACACGAGGCACAACGACCCTTTGCACATTGGTTACAACGATACACCGGGGCTTTCTAAATGAAATGTTCAGATTAATGTTAAAGATTTCTATTGTCTAACAATACTCACTGCTTCATTCAACAATATCTCTGTATCACCATAGGCATTTGTTTGATAATTTTTTCTACGAAAACGACTCCAACATGATCTTTTTGCAGGTTGACGTTCAACTACGATAACTGAAAGAGAAGCTTTCGTTAGTATGTGTTTGACGTATCTTTTTATAAAAGGTACGTCTATCAGGAGATGTCTGTATTCCTGTGAAACATATTTTTTATTATTTTACCTTCTGGATCTGTTCTTAATACTTTTGCATGTTGAACAACGTTGTAAGATGTTGGTGAACGATATTCTTGAGGATAGATATACGTAGTCGGTACCGGCTGATGTTTCGTCGGTTGAATTTCAACTGTTTTTTGGGGAAGACGAACAATGTTCACATGTTGTTCAGGTGGACGAATAGTTGTCTGAGGAGTGTACACTTGACGTTCAACATAGACTGGTTTGGTTGTCGTTCCTGGTGTGTAATAAGTAGGCGTAGTGGTATGCACGTACTTTGGAGTAGTGATGCGCTGGATTGTCGGCTTTTTATCATCGGATGTAGCTACGTGTCTCTCAACATGCCGTTCACCATTAGGACCAGTGGTGACTGTCTCAGTGATTGTTGTTTCGTGCGGTGAGACGCTTGATTTCGGATTTCGTTCTCGAATTCGACGTAAAGCATTTATTAATGCGGCATTAGTCTTGAGTTGAAACAAAAGAAATGAAATTAACTTTTCGTTAAATATTCAAAGATCATTTGGCGGTTAACATAATTCCCTATGACACAAGTGGTTTTATTAGACTAGCATTTCTTTACTTACTGCTTGTGAATTTGTCATTCGGATATTTTAGAATAAATTATGTATAACAAATTCAATATTTTACTGTTTAACTTGTAGTTTCACTTCAGTTTTTTCTCTGTAGACAAGAAAAGAATTTTATTTTTCAAATATTAAGACTCAGCAGGAGATTATTTAAACAATAAAATAAGCATGCATATCAATGATTGCAATTTTCTTCAGACATCATTCAATTCATTTATTCGAAACGTTATTGTTTAATGGTAAACTTGCTTTGTGCTGATTTATAATTAAGCTTGATTTAACCGGCTAAAATTTTTCTAAATATAAAAACGCAATTATATACTAAAATAAAAGAAAACCATAATAATATATAACAGCCAATATTGCTTCATTTCCATGTTGATAAACGCTTTACTCTTGTTCTGATTTCGACGGCCATAAAGATGATTTCGATCATTTAAGACAAGTAACTAACTAATTTTAACTCAAAACACTTCGGTGTATATTTACCTCTGAGTACTTCATCACAACATATTAAATGGCAACAAAGAGCCTAACATGAAGCGATGATTCAATAATAGGCATAATGAAAGTCGAACTTTTCACAAATTTTTTTACTCAAGATCATTCTTAATAAAAACTATCCGGCACTTATCTTAGTAGACTGCAGTAATAGAAGAATATAAGGATCGTATTCAGTTTACAACTTTTGATTATCTTCATGTGATAAACGAAATAGGGGTGAAAAATGCGGGCAGACGAAGAAAGCAGTCTA